TTTGGTAAAAAAGTATGGTTTTCTAATTCAGTTTGATAAATAGTTCAGTTTGCTTTGGTAAAAAAATGTGGTTTGGTTTGATAAATAGTTCACTTTAATAAATAGTTCAGTTTGCTTTGGTAAAAAAGTGTGGTTTAGTTCGATAAATAGTTCAGTTTGCTTTGATAAAAAAATGTGGTTTGGTTTGATAAATAGTTCACTTTGATAAATAGTTCAGTTTGCTTTGGTAAAAAAGTGTGGTTTAGTTCGATAAATAGTTCAGTTTACTTTGGTAAAAAAATGTGGTTTGGTTTGATAAATAGTTCACTTTGATAAATAGTTCACTTTGCTTTGGTAAAAAAATACGGTTTAGTTTGATAAATAGTTCAGTTTGATAAACCTAATGTATAAATTGTGACGCAATTCACTGAGACTCCCTGCAAACAAGAACAATCACCCTCCCATCCATCCTCCCTCCTATTGTAGACATCGAAATTTCGTAAATAAATGTTGACCGATAAATCAAAGTGTCAACGCTCATGTATTACATAAATTTTACACGTAGCGTGTGACTCAACGAAAATTGAAATGAGTTGGAAAAGTCATCAAATAGGACACGTGTCAACGCCTGGCAGAAACGACTTATTTCATCTGGAATATTATATTCAAAATTAGGCCTTGGAAAATTCTATAAATACAAGCCCAATTTCATTCATTTAAAAAACGAATTGATATTACACCTTGAAGCTCTGAAGCTCTGAAACTCCGAAGCTCTCAAGCATCCAGGTTCCCGAAGAATCAAGAAAGTGTTCTTCGTTCTTCGTTCATCGTTCTTCCAAGATCAAGCCTCGACGGCCCTTGGATCAACAATCATCCACCTTCAAGATCAAGCCCCAACGGCCCTTTGGATCAACAAACGTCGACAAATCCACACATCCAACCGTTCTTCAAGATTAAGCCCAAAAGCCCTTGAAGATCTGTTCATCACTGTTTCTTCAAGATCAAGCCCAAAAGCCCTTGAAGATCCGCTCAAATCCACCTTCAAAGATCAAGCCCACGGCCCTTTGAAGAAACTTCCAACAGTTCATCCAAGATTAAGCCCAAAAGCCCTTGAAGATCTGTTCATCACTGTTTCTTCAAGATCAAGCCCAAAAGCCCTTGAAGATCCGCTCAAATCCACCTTCAAAGATCAAGCCCACGGCCCTTTGAAGAAACTTCCAACAGTTCATCCAAGATTAAGCCCAAAAGCCCTTGAAGATCTGTTCATCACTGTTTCTTCAAGATCAAGCCCAAAAGCCCTTGAAGATCCGCTCAAATCCACCTTCAAAGATCAAGCCCACGGCCATTTGAAGAAACTTCCAACAGTTCATCCAAGATCAAGCCCCGACGGCCCTTGGATCAACGAAACATCCACAAATCAACACCTTACGGAGATCGAATCAGAGGATCAAATTAGAGAGAGATTGTAACCCAAAATCATCAAAACACAAATATTTTGTTTGTGCACGTTGTTCTTGTCTCTTTCGTTTCGGGAATTTTCCGTGTTCACAAATTGGCACGCCCAGTGGGACCATCTCTGCCTCTCATCTCTTTCTCCGTTCAAGAAATTCAAGCGCACTTCCAAAATTAATGGCATCAAGGAAGGCTCAAACTGTTCCCGCAACCGACGTAAAGAACAAAAGCGTCCTCGTCGCAACTGGTGTCACTTTAGGCATCACGACTCGAAGCATGGCAAGAGCTACTTCTGCCGCCTCTTTCACCTCTGCATCAACTATGCCAAGGGAACAAAAGCACCCAAGGCACGAGCCTTTGATCACCTTAGCCTCGCTAAGGGCACCAAGGGGGGAAAGCCCAAGGAAATACTCCGAATCCATGCTCTCCGATGCCGATTCAAGCGACGGTTCAGCCATGCAAGTCATGACCATTGGAGCAACTTCAATCGATGAGCAGCTGGCTCAAATGAATGAAGCAATCGCAAGGCTAACCCGAACTGTGGAAGAAAAAGACTTGCAAATCGCTGCACTCGTCAGCCGACTGGAGCCACAGGACGACGAGAACCCTAACCCAGAAGATGAGCCTCAGGTGGAGAAAAACAATGCGAAGCCCGAGCCAGATCAAGCAGCGGCACTAATGGGATCTCTTTCTATCCAGCAGCTGCAAGAGATGATCACCAACACCATCAAGGCACAGTACGAAGGGAGCTTAAATACCTCCGAGTTGTACTCAAAGCCGTATTCAAAGAAGATCGACGCCTTAAGGATGCCGAGGGGCTATCAACCGCCGAAGTTTATGCAATTTGACGGAAAGGGAAACCCGAAGCAACATGTCGCACATTTCGTGGAAACCTGCAACAATGCAGGGACGGAGGGAGATTACCTCGCCAAGCAGTTTGTGCGCTCGTTAAAAGGAAACGCCTTTGAGTGGTACACGGACCTGGAGCCCGAGTCCATCAACAGCTGGGAGCAGTTAGAGCGAGAATTCCTCAACCGCTTCTATAGCACCCGCCGCACTGTGAGCATGCTAGAGCTAACGAGCACAAAGCAGTGGAAGGACGAGCCAGTCATTGACTACATCAACAGATGGCGCACTCTAAGCCTCGACTGCAAAGATAGGCTCTCGGAGACCTCTTCAATTGAGATGTGCATCCAGGGCATGCAATGGGGTTTGCAATACATTCTTCAAGGCATCAAACCACGGACCTTCGAAGAGCTAGCCACTCGCGCCCATGACATGGAGTTGAGCATCGCCCATCATGGGAAGAAAGAACCGATCGCCGACTACAAGAACGACAAAGTTCTTGGGACAAAGGTGGAAAAGGCTGCATGGAAACCCACCAAGGAAGCGATGACGGTCAACACAGCTCCCGTCAAAATATCCATACGAGGCAAGGCGATTCAACCGAAGCTTTTCGTGATCAAGAGATGCGTAGACGCACTTTGAAAGAGCTTGAGGAGAAGACTTATCCATTCCCCGACTCTGATGTGGTTGCCATGTTAGAAGACTTGTTGGAAAAGAAGGTGATTGGTTTGCCTGAGTGCAAACGGCCAGAAGAGATGAATCGCACCGACAGTCCAAGGTACTGTAAATTCCACCGCTTCATCAGTCATCCGACAGAAAAATGTTTCGTGCTGAAAGATCTCATCATGAAGCTGGCTCATAAAGGAATCATCGAGCTAGATCTTGACGAAGTGGCGAAGTCAAACTATACCACCTTCACTTCTGGCTCTTCCGACTCAAAGTTTTCACCTCAACCGCTGGGGGCATCGTCCAAGACAAGCAAAATTGAAGGATGGACTCAAGTCACTCCTAAGAAATTGCACAAGAAGCATACGTCTCCTCCACAAGTCCGCCAATCGGAAAGGGGGCAAAGCAGCTCTTGTCAACCTTCAAAGCAACGTGAACATGTTGAAAATGAGGAAATTTCGACACATAGATCGTCCATCCCCATCACGATGCGTGATTTCTTTCCTGAAGACTTCTTCAATCACTCGGTCAAGGCTCCTTGCTATGAAGATTGCGAGGAACGACTCTCTCAGATCGCTTGACGAACCAAAGCTCCTTGTCTATAAGAGCCTAAACTGCAAGACACAATGCTCCTTGTTCGCACGAGTCTAAACTGCATGGCACAAAGCTCCTTGTCCGCACGAGCCTAAACTGTAGGACACAAAGCTCCTGGCCTGCACGAGCCTAAACTGCATGGCACAACGCTCCTGGTCTGCACGAGCATAAAAGGCAATACCAACGCTCCTTGTCTGCACGAGTTGAAACTGCAAACGACACCAACACTCCTTGCCTGCATGAGTTGAAACTGCAAACGGCACAAAAAAGAAAATACCAAAAAAATATATGTATGTATTTGAACTACGTTTTGACTTGATCTCTTTCTTTGGAAGGGTACGTAGGCAGCTTGAATATTCAATTTCAAGTTCAGTCACATCAAAAAAAAAAAAAAAAAATTTAAAAAAAAAATGTTTTATTAAATATAGTCAATTTTATTACAGAAAAAAAAATACATATGTTTTATGTATTAAAAAAAAAATAATAATAATAATACAGATTCCTTTTGTATACATACATATATATATATATATATATATATGTATATATGACCTCTATCCAGCCCATCAAAAAGGGGTCGTCTAAACTCAAAAGGAAGCTATCCAGGCCCAAGTGACAGCCTCCAAGCCCAGGCTTCCCTCTCAACAACACCAGGCCCACCGGTGCTCTTCCTCAAACAGGCCCCGAAGACCTTGAAGCCAAGCCCACCGTGATGGTGTTCATCACCGATGCCATCTGCTCCATTCTCCTCATACAATTCTTGGTCGGAATAAAGGGCAATAATTTCCTCTTCTCTTTGAGACCACCATCCGCTTCTCGTATTAGTTCCCAATTCTTCTTCCCCCGCAAACCCTAATTTTGAAGCTCAGGAGCTCCAATTTCCGCAGATCAGGCGAGATGTGCTGAGGGAGAACGCGAGGAAGAAGTTCGAGGAGGCCCGATTCGAGATGGATCCGGAAGTTATAACGCGACTACTCATCGGCGATCATGATGCGGTGCAGTCGGCGATAGATGAGCTCGCCGAGAAGCAGCGACAGCAAATTCAACAGAAGCGCAGGAGACCCAGTCTGCGCTTGAGACGCTGATGAATGGCGACTGAGTGATGACTGGAGAACCGGAGCAGAGGCCTACCTCGTCAATTCAGAAGGGACACCAGATCCATTTCCTCTCTCTTTCTAGACACCCTTCGTGCTCTCCGCCTCGGCCTCGCCTCTGCCGTCGTGGTCTCGCCGCCATCTCCGACATCGCCAAATATTAAGACCACCTACACCTTGAACGCTGAATCCAAACCCGAGATTCCCAAAGTACGACATGGCGGGCGGAGAAGAAGAGATCCACTCGGATGCCCCGGACGGCGACGACGGAGATGGCGTGGCACTACCGGGCTCGTATACCAGATCTATCAGAGTCTCTTTCCTTGTGTCCGTACGAAGATTCGAGCACGCGCGAGAGCTTCTTCTTCTCAATCACGACCGTCTATCTCTTCAAAATCACTCGGAATACACAATCGATATCTACCAAATGGGAAAACCCAATCCTGATGAAAAGATTCTCAGCTACAATGATGTTGTACTCAGACGATCAGACTTGGATATCCTCAGTGGCCCGTATTTTCTCAATGATCGACTCATCGAGTTTTATTTCAGTCACCTGTCATCATGCTCTGAGGAGATATTACTCATTGCACCTTCAATTGCATTCTGGATGATGAATGCGGTTGGTCAAGGCCTCCACGAGTTCCTGGTACTTCTTAATTTGCCTGATAAAAAACTGGTAATCTTTCCAGTCAATGACAATGAGGATGTGAGTGAAGCTGGAGGTGGATCTCACTGGAGCCTACTTGCATTTGAGAGAGATTCTAACGTCTTTGTTCATCATGATAGCAATGGAGGGATGAATAGAAGGCACGCTAAAAAACTGTATGATGCGGTTGTTGACTTCATGAGTGTCTCCAGTTCAGCAACTAAGCCCACTTATCAAGAGTGTAGTGATTCACCGCAAAAAGTAAACGGTTATGATTGTGGCTTGTTTGTGTTGGCTATTGCAAGGGTTATATGCAGTTGGTACGGAAGTAAAGACAAAGGTGAGCAGACTTTGTGGTTCCATGCTGTGCGCGAGCAGGTCACTCCATCTGTTGTTGCTGCAATGCGAAACGAAATCCTGGAGCTGATAAGAGGTCTCATGCCCGTGAAGTGAAGTTTGCCTACAAAGTGAGAGTCGATGAAGAAGAGAAGCAAGATCCGCAAGCTCAATCACACCTCCTATGCGGCATTCGACCCCGAGCTCGGCAGCAGCGGCGAGGACGGCGGCTTGTTGTCCTGAAATGTGGAAACGGCAGCGTCAGGGTTCCAGTTGTGGGATTCAACGAAGAAGAGGGCTTCTTGCTTCAAAGCAAATATGATCTCGCAGGAGGAGCTGACGATGGCATCGTTTTGGGAATTGGATTCTTGAGCTTCGACTTCCATGACGATTAGGATTGTTCAGTGCTCTCCGTCCATGCTTTTCATTGTTCTCTTCCTCTTCTACTATTGTTGTATGATGATGTTGTTGAGCCTGGAAGTTGCTGGCGATGAACAAGGCCTTGAAGAGGAAAAGATTGCTCCGGCGATGAAGTTGTAACTCAGGTCGAGCGTTCTCAGGTTGCTTAACTGTCCCCTCCTTCTGCCTTCTCCTCCGTCTCTTGCCTCGCAGCTGCCACCAACTTCAAAGACCGCTGTCAAACGACTAGCCGGCCAAGAAGCTCTTCCTTAAACTCCAGCTTCTCCGTCCGTCTTCGTCCTTCCCTACAAAATCCCTCAGCCAAGCATCCTAATTTATACAAAAAAAAAAAAAAAAAAAAAAAAAAAAAGGGGTGGAGCAAAGCAAAGTGATGCTGTCACCACGTGAAAAAAAAAAAAAAAGGTTGAGCAAAGCAAAGTGGCGCTGTAAAGGGGGGTGCATCAGGCACCATGTGCAGAAAGAAAGAAAGCAAAAAAAAAATAAATAAAAAATAAATATTGTAAAAAAAAAAAAATAAATAAATAAACATAAAAAAAATAATAATAAAAAAAAAAAAAAAAAATGATGGAACTTGGTGCATCCAGCACCAAAAGAAAAAGAAAAAAAAAAAAAAAAAACAAATGCATAGAGAGAAATAGAAGGTCCATTTTATTTATTTTTCTGGAAATTATACATAAATTTAAAAAAAAAAAAAAAAAAAATCAAATCAAATCAAATTTACAAGAGGGGATATTCAAGGACGATCAGGTGGCGCCTCACAACTCGGCAGAGCTCCAGGAAGAGAAGGCGTCAGAGGTTGGCTGTTTGAAGCCTCAGCAGTCGGTACAGCCCCAGAAGACGAAGGTAAATGCTGCTGGAACAAACCCACAAACCTCCGATGATCAAGTAAGATCTGACCATCAGATTCCTGCATCTGGTCAATTTTCCTCTTCATGTTTGTGGCATAGTTGTGTGCAAGCTTGTGCAACTGTTTATTCTCATGCTTGAGCCCTCTGATCTCCTGTTTGAGACTCATCACTTCAGCCGCCAACGATTCAACTTGACGGGTTCGAGCAAATAGGCGTTGGGCCATGTTGGACACAGAACCCGCACACTGCACACTTAGAGCCAGGGACTCCTTAACGGCCAACTCATCAGACCGCCTGGAAAGTAGTCTGTTATCTTTGGGAGTGACAAGGTTCCGGGCCACCACCGCAGCGGTCATATCATTCTTCATCACCGAATCCCCAACAGTAAGAGGACCAGTAGGGGATATGAAGGATGGGCGCCATATGTTATCTGGAGAAGACGGGACTACCTCTTCACCAAGGTTCAAATCAAAACGACGGTCGGAGGGACCAGACATTTTCAAAGTGTTGAAGGAAGAAGAGATCGGACAAATCAAGATCTTAGAAGTACAAGAGGGAAGTTTTCACAAGCGAAAATTCAAGTGTGTTTTGAAACGAACTGCATGCCTCTATAAAAAATCAGCACTCGACGGGATTTCAGAGATCGAAGAGGCGAGCTCAGAATTCGAAGAGGCCATTCAAAAATCGAAGAGGCAAGCTCAGAAATCGGAGAAGCATCTTGCTTTTCCAGACGTGTCGGCACCCGTCACACGCAAACTCAGCGTTGCGGAAATCACGGGTAATTTGTCGAAGCGCCAATCCCAGATATCGAAGAGGCGCCAGTCTTTTTCAGCCGAGTCATCACCTGTCATATGCACACTCAACTTTGCGCAAATCACGGGCAATTTGTCGAAGATTTTCGGTGAAAGAGAAAGCACGTGAAATTTTACTGTTCAATCACGCGTTAGTTGCCGACACGAGTGAAAGAATAGTACCTCTACAAGTATTAAAGAACTTCCTATAACTGTCCATCTTCACCCTCCATAGCAAGGCAGACATACAAAACCTTTCTTCATCTCTGAGAATGCCTTCCCAACGAAGCCTCTTGAGTTACCCAGTGTTCCTTATTCCTTGGGGTACCTCTGCAAGCCAATGACTCCAAAGCAAAAGTATCTCATATCACCAGGGTAGAAAGCAAGAGTATCTCATATCATGCGTTCTCCCTGTCCTTTCCTTTATCCTTGTTCTTACCTACAAAGACAAGGATAAAGAAAAACAATATGCCGGAACTTCCACTCAAACTCGGGTAAGGAACCGACTGCTTGGAACCCTTCCCTGATTGCCTACCTAGCACTGCTCTCGAGTACTCGCCTTCCACTGCTGCTGTACTTTCAAAGAAGCTGCCACACATCTGCCTGAAGAACAGATAAGGCAAGTGAAAATGATACCTTGCAGCATGTGGAGACAAGGTGCAGAAGGAACAAGCAGAGAAGAATGCGGTCTGCACGGTCAACTCAGCAGAAGGAGTCCGAACTGAGGAACTCAAGAAGCTGCCATATCTGCCTGAAGAAACAAGCAGAGAAGAATGCAGCATGCACAATCAACTCAGCAGAAAGAGTCCGAGATGAAGAACTCGAGAAGATGTCGCATCTGCCTGAGGACGATGAGCTTGTTTTGACCCTCAAATTCTTGGGTCGACTTACTAGGCGTTGTGGGCTGCACGTGCCGATTCACCACCCTTGAATCGAATCCTTAAAGATCAAGTCACCAACTGGAAGAAGAGTTCATCAATCTTGAAGATCATACCGTTGACCAAACTGCTCAGGTGTGAATTAGAAAGATTGAACAAAGAAACAGGTTGTCACCTTTACCTCGTGCCTGCTTGCCATGTGTCCGAGTCAACCTTCAAGAATCAAGCCTCAACGGCCCTTGAAGAAGTTTCCAGCCAAATTCAAGATCAAGCCTCGACGGCCCTTGAGGAAATCACAAGTCCGATTCAAGATTAAGTGTCTACCACCCTTGAATCAAAACCTAGTTCAAGAATAAGCTGTGGAAAATCAACAATTGGAGGAATCCAGAAAATCTTCCAACCCAGTTCAAGATCAAAGCTGTGGAAAGTCAACAAGCGCAACAAAATACGTGCCGATTCATCCATTACCAAAGCCAAAGATCATCTACCACATGAAGCTCCTTGTGGTCAAATTTCAACCTTCAAGATCAAGCATCGACGGCCCTTGAAGAAATTTCAAACAACAATTCAAGATCAAGCCTCAACGGCCCTTGAAGAAATCTCAAGCCCAATTCAAGATCAAGCCTCAATGGCCCTTGAAGAAATCTCCAGCCCAATTCAAGATCAAGCCTCGACGGCCCTTGGATCGACATCTACAGTAAGGGACTTCAAAACGCATCTCCTACACGTGACAAGCACATGTATACGACGTGCCTTGAAGTGGGGGCATTTGTAGACATCGAAATTTCGTAAATAAATGTTGACCGATAAATCAAAGTGTCAACGCTCATGTATTACATAAATTTTACACGTAGCGTGTGACTCAACGAAAATTGAAATGAGTTGGAAAAGTCATCAAATAGGACACGTGTCAACGCCTGGCAGAAACGACTTATTTCATCTGGAATATTATATTCAAAATTAGGCCTTGGAAAATTCTATAAATACAAGCCCAATTTCATTCATTTAAAAAACGAATTGATATTACACCTTGAAGCTCTGAAGCTCTGAAACTCCGAAGCTCTCAAGCATCCAGGTTCCCGAAGAATCAAGAAAGTGTTCTTCGTTCTTCGTTCATCGTTCTTCCAAGATCAAGCCTCGACGGCCCTTGGATCAACAATCATCCACCTTCAAGATCAAGCCCCAACGGCCCTTTGGATCAACAAACGTCGACAAATCCACACATCCAACCGTTCTTCAAGATTAAGCCCAAAAGCCCTTGAAGATCTGTTCATCACTGTTTCTTCAAGATCAAGCCCAAAAGCCCTTGAAGATCCGCTCAAATCCACCTTCAAAGATCAAGCCCACGGCCCTTTGAAGAAACTTCCAACAGTTCATCCAAGATTAAGCCCAAAAGCCCTTGAAGATCTGTTCATCACTGTTTCTTCAAGATCAAGCCCAAAAGCCCTTGAAGATCCGCTCAAATCCACCTTCAAAGATCAAGCCCACGGCCCCTTTGAAGAAACTTCCAACAGTTCATCCAAGATTAAGCCCAAAAGCCCTTGAAGATCTGTTCATCACTGTTTCTTCAAGATCAAGCCCAAAAGCCCTTGAAGATCCGCTCAAATCCACCTTCAAAGATCAAGCCCACGGCCATTTGAAGAAACTTCCAACAGTTCATCCAAGATCAAGCCCCGACGGCCCTTGGATCAACGAAACATCCACAAATCAACACCTTACGGAGATCGAATCAGAGGATCAAATTAGAGAGAGATTGTAACCCAAAATCATCAAAACACAAATATTTTGTTTGTGCACGTTGTTCTTGTCTCTTTCGTTTCGGGAATTTTCCGTGTTCACACCTATATCCTTGAACAGCCCGAAACCCTTGCACCTTCAGCAGCCTAAAATGGAACAAGATGAACAAGAAAATCCTTACACTACGCCAAACTATCCAAAAGAGCCATAACAGAGGAGCAATAAGAATGACTTACAGCAAGACCAACAGCTCCCAATCCAAAGATGGCAATAGATGAACCCTTTTTCGGTTTTGCAACATTCACAGTGGCGCCAAAACCTTCAAATACACCAACAGAAACAATAATTGATTACTCCAGAAAGAAAAGTTGGAAAATCCCTAATTTCTGATTCCAACTTTTTCACTGTCAAAATGGGAGAAGTCTTTCGAACCTGTGCATATTCCGCAACTAAGAACACAAACTTTGTCAAGGGGAGCAGCCGGGTTGATCTTAGCAACGGAACCAACATGACAAACAGTGTATTCACTGAAGGTAGAAGTACCTAAAAAGTGATAAATTGGTTTTCCATCCTTGGAGAACCTGGACTGGCCATCATTGATCATGGTACCCCTATCAGTATTGATCCTCAGCAGATCACACATGTTGCTTTCCTTCGACTTACAGTGCGCGCACTCCTTGCACTCCCCAGTGAACACAGGGAGGACGTGGTCACCCGGCTGGAGTTCAGTTACGCTCGCCTACGCTTTCCACAACTCTAAACACAAAATGTTAAGCAAACAAAATTTAGAAAAGTAAACAAACCGCGTAAAATGGAAGCAAATACTAAGTTAATTACAAATTATGTAGCTTTAATATTCAGAGATGTGTACATACCCTCCAGCTTCATGACCGAAAATGCGAGGAAACAGCGGTTGTTGTCCCTGGCACACAACATATATGTTTCAATTCCAACAGCTGACATTCTAAGCACGAAAATGCCTTGTATAGGATTTATCATCACATTAGACTTAGCACTCAAAATCATGCTTAACTTCACTAATCAATTGCAAGTTATGGACTAAGTACTATAAACATATGAAGAATCATGCTTAATGATGTAGTTATCGATACACAGATATTAAAGTAGAAAATGGCATTCAAAGTTGAAGTTTTTACTTTGGCTTCCCAGAAGTAGACATCGGTGTGGCAAAGAGAGGTGAAGAGGATCTTCAAGCGAACTTCATGTTTCTGCGGTGGTGCCACCTCCACTTCCTCAATTGACAGTGGCTTCCCCGCTTCCCATGCCACCGCGGCTGCAACCGAAAAATCCGAATGCGATTAGCAACAAATACATCGATAAAATCAGTATTTTTACCACAATTACCGCAACAATATCAAGATTGACAAAATGTAATGAAATCTACAATTTATGGAAAAATAGAGACAAAAATTCATTACAGCAGAATATTCAATCCGCTGCCAAGTTAATTTCTTTTTAATCAATTTCGAAATTTTCGAAACTAAAATTTAACTTCTCATGAAATCCACGAAAACCAAATCCTCATCCTCATCATTACCAATTATAAACAATATTTAAAACAAAATAGAAAAATAAAACAGCAGTAGGATCATGTAAACAATATTTAAAACAAAATAGATCATTGGATTCATAGAAATCTCAAGCGTTCGAGAACTAATGATGTATGCAAAAGAAATTCAACTGCAAAGATTCAAAATCGTAAATTGAAAACAGGAATGAAACAGCAACATGCAAATTTTTGAAAACAAAAACCAGATCGAAAGAGAAAGGTAACGTGTTACTGATAGGGGAACTCGAGCTCCAGAGAATCGATGCTGAGAAGGTCGCCCGTGCTTATCCGATTCGATCGATTCGATTGATTTGAAAAATTGTGGAACTCAAATTGAATTGAAAACAAAAATACATATTGGGTGGAGAGATCGAGAGAGAGGGAGAGAGATTCGATCGATTCGATTGAAAAATGGAGGAATTGGAATTGAACTTGGAAATAAAAGGATTCAGATGTGTTCTTCTTTCACTTCCTTCACTTCTCTTTCTCTCTTTAGATGTGTCAGGAAGAAATGGGGGAGACAGACCACAGCAGAGCAGAGAGACCCATAAAGGAAGAGAGATTAAACGGAGAAATGCTTTGCCGTCAGGGGCAAAATCGGACACTCACTGTTTGGGCCATTTTATTTGGATTGATTTAGTGTTGGGCTTTGTCCTAACCATTAAATAAACTTACAACATGGTTTTTGGTTAAAACTCAAAGTTTCCAAGCCCTTCTGGTTAGTTTTCCTTACAAACAATGCTACATTTATCATATATTTGTATCATCTCTCTAATTAGAGATAGACTTACCAACACATGTCGATCTCATCTCTATTGAGAGATGGTACAAATATGTAGTAAGAGTAACATATTTGTGCAAAATATGACCCCAAAAAATGTACAATCTCAAATTATGCAATGCAAATAAAAACTCACCATCCCTAGTAAATCAATTTGTGTGAAAAATTGTTACGAGGCGGAGCCAAAAAGAACAAAAGGAATTTCATTATTTGGGAGACAAACAAAACTTTATTTAATGCACGGGAATCGCATACAACCAAACAAGGAGAGACAGACACCATGCAAAGATGCAATCAATCTTGGCACATGGAACCGAAGTTTCTACATTTTCCTACGCCACCGATCAAAACACACGAGTCAGCAGTCAATCACAAACATACCAGAAACTTCCACCACCCACACGAAGCTTCAAGAACCACCTCCTTCCTCAATCCCTCTCATCTCCCTCCAGTTTTCTCTAAATATACACAATCTCCACCTCCCAAATCCAACCAAATCTCCAGGTCTCCGATCTCCTCGCGGCATTTAATTTCGTTCAGGCATTTTCACAAACACCTCGATGGCGGCAGAGGACGGCGCGGTCACAATCTACAACAGCAGCGCAATCACCGATGCCAAAAACAAGCAGAATCCATATTCGATGAAGGTCGGCCTTGCCCAGATGCTCCGCGGCGGCGCCATTGTCGAGGTTAACACCCTCGAGCAAGCCAAGCTCGCCGAAGACGCCGGCGCTTGCTCTGTCATCGTCTCCGACCCGCCCCGCACCCGAGGCATTTCGCGCATGTCCGACCCCTCTCTCATCAAGGACATCAAACGTGCCGTTTCGATCCCCGTCGTGGCCCGATCACGGATCGGGCATTTCGTCGAGGCCCAGATCCTCGAATCCATCGGGGTCGACTATATCGACGAGAGCGAGTATCTGGCCATGGCGGACGAGGAGCATTTCATAAACAAGCACAATTTCCAGATCCCTTTCGTCTGCGGAGCTCAAACTCTCGGCGACGCGTTGTGGAGAGTGAGAGAAGGTGCTGCAGTCATCAGAATCCAAGGGGATCTATCCGGGTCCGGCAATGTCTCCATGACTGTAAAAAACGTGAGGTGCGTAATGGGTCAGATTAGGCTGCTCAACAACATGGACGACGACGAAGTCTTCGCGTTTTCGAAGACAATCCAAGCGCCGTACGACCTGGTTGCTCAATCCAAGCAAATGGGTCGGCTGCCTGTGATGCTATTCGCCGCCGGTGGCATCGTGACGCCGGCCGACGCAGCGCTGATGATGCAGTTGGGTTGCGACGGAGTGTTTATCGGGTCGGATGTATTCAATTGTTCGGATCCGTATAAGCGGGTGATGGGCATTGTTCAGGCGGTTAGGAACTACAATGATCCGCATGTGCTGGTGGAGGTGAGTTCCGGGTTGTCGGGCCTGATGGCGGGTTTGGGCGAGGACAGGATCGAACCGTTTGGCGGCGGCCATGGAGGTGTTTGATTAGGAATCATGTAATGTTGCTCTAAACTCTTCCTTTGTTTGGTTTTAAAACATAGAATAATTTTGTTATACCTGGATATCTGTCTCTCTGTTGTGACTAGTGTCCAGTTTTTCATATGATGATTAACTTGTTGTATTGAGGCCAATTTTGTGAAAATGCAGATAGGATTGAGAATAATAATCTTGTTTTTCGACTTTATCGAAATGTTTAGGAATAATGCTGTACTTCGAATAATTTTGTTTATCCATACGAGTTTCGTTAGTTTAATTTGAAGTATTAATGCCTTACAAAACTGATGTGATTTAGTTGTTGAACATTGCTAAGAGTTACGCTCGCTTAAGTACTGATTTCTTCTTGGAGACCTATCAAATCGCTAGTTTGGTAAGTTTGCAGAAAATTTTCTTTCGTGATTTTAGTGAGTGATATATGCATACGTGTCAGACTGTGAGTTTTGCATAAGGACAAATTGTTTACTTGTAAGGAATCAAGTAGTATTCTTATTAATTACTACAATAAGAAGAATTGATATCAATAGCAACCGGAGGAGGCATTGAGTAAGATTAACAGTACGAGGAACACTGAGATTGACATGTGATTGTTACAAAATAAGATGCAAAGGGTTTTTATGTTCACCAACATTTACTTATTTAGTGATGCGTATGAATAGATAAACGAGATTTTCGCTGTCTTTCTCCATTTACGTAAGGGTAATCGGAATAAAGAAAGGGAATTGAATTCCGATTACGGAGTATTCCGGTGTTTACTAAATATTAAGGAATCAAAAAAGTGGTGGAGCCCACACGAAACAAGGAATCCAATTCCTGAAATTGGAGGAACCGGATTCCCTAGTTTTGTGAGGTATTTGAATTCCCTAAGGGCAAGGGAATCAGGAATGCATATTTTATTCCAATTATGCCCTCACTTGTTTCTTATTATCCCAACATTGCCCTTCATTTGACACTCATTATGTCATTTTTAATAAATAAATAAAACCTATTTATATTTTTTTATATAGATAATTTTATTATATAAATTTAATTAAGAATTTAATTAAATTATTAGTATGAAAATAATTTATTTATGTAAGGGCAATATAGTAATCAACCTAGTTTTCATTCCGATTGAAATGAATTAGTAAACAACTTATATGGACTCAACATCATTCCTACTCCGATTCCTGACAGTTTTAGTAAACAACTTCAACAGGAATCTGATTCTGATTCCACCTCATTTCAATTCCTCCTCAATCCAATTCCCCCTCAATCCAATTCCTCTCAATTTGATTACGGATTAGTAAACGCGCCACGAGTGTTGTCAGCTACTAGCATGGGATGGGAAAATGCTAACGGCAGGGGACACTAGTGAATGGCTTGAACCTGGAGATTTTTCTGCCCATTTAAATTTGCTTTCTTTCCAGTTATTCAGCATATGGGTCTCCTTTTCTAGGTTATAATGGAGAGGGCAATTTACTCTGTCCAATTTTTTGTGTTTAACTGCTTTTCATGGGGTGGAAAAAAAAAAAAAAAAAAAAAAAAAAACAGAGTAAAACCAGAAGAAAATTTTGGCGGGTTATTTGTCTGAGAGAAGTATTCTTCAGAGTAGTGATCAATTGATCATATATATATCAAGACGTATTTGACATCTTTGGAGATGGTCTATAAGGACTTTATGTAAGCCCAAAATTTGGGTTGGGGGTGATAGTGGGAAAGAGGTTTTTAGACAAAAGTCGTCCTTACCGCTCTTATAAAGTCATTTGAGCATTTTTTTTCATTTGAGAATCTCTTCCCCTCACTCTTTTTCGAAGAATAACCAGCACCAAGTCAATAAACATATATTTTTCTAAACGGAGTAGGACATGGGCAGCAGTTACCTAGTCATGAACCAAGCATTCTGGCATTGTGCACTCTCGCCTGGCCTCCGGGTAACGTTCTCTCTCGGCATAGGCAAGGTCCACATGCAATTGTGCATTCATGGTTGGACCCACACTCTAGCGAGCATTCAGGACCCAATTCCAAGCGAAGTGTTTATTCGTGGCTTGGCCCGCATGGTTGGGCCCACACTTAGAAATTTGCCTTCATCAAATAGTATATGCTTGGAGACAAGCAGGTTATTGTCTATGAGTGAAAAACATATATAGCCTTTATATTGTGCAACATATCCCATAAAAATGCACTCAGTTGTTTTTTATTTAAGTTTATTACATCTTGTTGACCCTAGAAACTACAAAGCCTACGTGGCGCGCAGGCCGAGTATTCTATAAGCTAACTACGTCCTTCGGTGAATGCGGGGCGTGCCAACTCGTCGGCCGAGCTCGGCCGAGGAGTAAATTTGTTGATGTTGCGTTGAGCGCGCTGCTGACTTCTGTGTCTTGCGATTGCGGCCGAGGAAGGAACAATTCTCGGCCTCTTGGGTTCTAGAGCCTGAAGACAAGGCTGCTAATTTGCGAAGTTCAATCTCAAATTCGGCTGTCAATGTGCCGAATACAGTAACCTGGTAACACCTCACTTCGCCGAGAAGGCTGATGAGATGACCTCGACCAATAAGGATTCGGAAATCCTTCTCGACCGAGACTTGGATAGGTAAGCAGTCGTCCTCGCCGTAGTGCTGTTGATGCCAACGGAAGATGCTGCGAGATCGGCTGATTCTACGGTGACAGAGCTATCTATGCCGACTTAAGATATCACCGGTTGCCTTCACAGTGCTGTTGATGCCAACGGAAGATGTGTCGGCGAAAAAAGAAAATAAAAAATCTCAAGGTGTTGAGAAAGTTTGCGCAGGGCAGTTTTGTTTGTGTCCTCTTTTCTGTCGCAGAATAGCTTGTATTTATAGTATTTTGTACTTGCTTGGCACGAACTGCAACTCTGACTCCTTCAAAATTGATCCGTGTGAAATGCCAAAGCCTATCCTCCAGCTTTTGTGACTTTTCAAACCTAATAAAAGTTAGGCTTTATCATATCTCATAAAAAGCCTAGCCCACCTAAACTTCTTATCATCAAAACCCATCTGACACCATCCATCACCATGTAAAAAGACCTAGTCTACCTAGGTTCCTTATCCCATCATTATCCAAGACCATGACTTTAAAATCATCAAATCCCCAAGTTTTTTCAATCTGCACGTTCATTGCTAAACATCCAAATTAATTTGAACTGTATCTCTTACTTGAGGATATAATTTGCATCCTATCCATCCCGTTTAAAAATATGTCAAGATAATTCAAATTAAAAGATAATTATGATAAAAACCATAATATTATCTTTTAAAAAAATATCTTCACTTTTCCATCCGACGGCTGAGAACTATGTTTACTCTACGGTCTCGATTACACGGGCCGATGGTGTAAATTTGGGTCCAAACAGGGTGATAGTGGGAAAGAGGTTTTTAGACAAAAGTCGTCCTTACCGCTCTTATAAAGTCATTTGAGCATTTTTTTCATTTTAGAATCTCTTCCCCTCACTCTTTTTCGAAGAATAACCAGCACCAAATCAATAAACATATATTTTTCTAAACGGAGTAGGACATGGGCAGCAGTTACCTAGTCATGAACCAAGCATTCTGGCATTGTGCACTCTCGCCTGGCCTCCGGGTAACGTTCTCTCTCGGCATAGGCAAGGTCCACATGCAATTGTGCATTCATGGTTGGACCCACACTCTAGCGAGCATTCAGGACCCAATTCCAAGCGAAGTGTTTATTCGTGGCTTGGCCCGCATGGTTGGGCCCACACTTAGAAATTTGCCTTCATCAAATAGTATATGCTTGGAGACAAGCAGGTTATTGTCTATGAGTGAAAAACATATATAGCCTTTATATTGTGCAACATATCCCAGAAAAATGCACTCAGTTGTTTTTTATTTAAGTTTATTACATCTTGTTGACCCTAGAAACTACAAAGCCTACGTGGCGCGCAGGCCGAGTATTCTATAAGCTAACTACGTCCTTCGGTGAATGCGGGGCGTGCCAACTCGTCGGCCGAGCTCGGCCGAGGAGTAAATTTGTTGATGTTGCGTTGAGCACGCTGCTGACTTCTGTGTCTTGCGATTGCGGCCGAGGAAGGAACAATTCTCGGCCTCTTGGGTTCTAGAGCCTGAAGACAAGGCTGCTAATTTGCGAAGTTCAATCTCAAATTCGGCTGTCAATGTGCCGAATGTAGTCACTTGTAACACCTCACTTCGCCGAGAAGGCTGATGAGATGACCTCGACCAACAAGGATTCAGAAATCCTTCTCGACCGAGACTTGGATAGATAATCAATCGTTCTCGCCGCAGTGCTGTTGATGCCAACGGAAGATACTGCGAGACCGACTGATTCTACGGTGACAGAGCTATCTATGCCGACTTAAGATATCACCGGTTGCGTCCACAGTGCTGTTGATGCCAACGGAAGATGTGTCAGCGAAAAAGGAAAAAGAAAAATCACAAGTTGTGAGAATTTGCGCAGGGCAATTTTGTATTGATTTGCAGGGGTCCTTTTTTGTGTTCCACGACCCCTTGTATTTATAGTGGCTGCATATCTGCTCGCAGCCTGATGGTATTTTGTAGAATTCACCTGCAACTCAACCTCTTGGAAGAGAGATTGATCCGCATGTCATCTATCCTTTGTACGACTATCCGTCATTTATCACTCACTTTTAAATGGATAATAACAAACCAAAAAGAAACCTAATTCTATCAGCAGCTTCCAAGTGACAAAGAACATTAACCAAGAATGATAATGACTATAGCATGCATGGCTGACCATATCCAAGCACACGTGGAGGTCATCCATTTTTTTTTTCATGCAGCCAAGCACACGTGGCTGACCAACTCCAATTTGTCATCTAAAACTTTATGAATGCACAATGCATTAATCTCTCTGCCAACCAATATCCATTTTCCCAACCAATGCCGCAATGTATTAGGACTCCTGGTAAAATACTCTAATGCTCTACTCCACCACATGTTTAAATTCCAAGAATCCCAAATCAAATTGAACTCATTTTCAAGTTGAAGATATAATTTGCACCTCATCCTGTACAAGAAAATATCAGGATAATTCCTCATTAAAAGATAATATCATGATTAAAACCATAATACATCCTCCAATTATTTTAACAATTCTGTCACTATGTTCATCAACGGCCTTGATTGCACGAGCCGATAGTGTAAAATCGGGTCCAAACACATCTATATGGTTTCATAGATGGGTAACAAACACATCTAGAGAATCTCAAATGATCAAGTCTAGGTGGGGGAATGATATATCAACTCAAAAGGTAGTTACGGCATGTGTAAAACAGAAATGGGCATCCTATATATTAGAGTTTGATATACAGGAGGCATCACATGAGATTGAAACTGCTGAGGAATCATTGATGGTAGATTGGATTGAGACATAGCAGGAGCTTGATATCATTGAGAAGGATGAAATGCTTGAGATGGAGACATTTAGAATGATTGAAACTGGGAATTGTTCCTATCAACGCAAGTCGTAGCAGTATGACCCACCCTATTGCAAATCTGGCAGCCATTTTGAAGGCAATTCAAAATGGTTAACCTGAATACTGACCTTAGCTCCTCAATGCATAATGACCTTTCTTGTCACAAATCTGTAAGGGATTGTAATTATGTGCCAGACACTACTGTTGACCTGAATACTAGTCGAATGGTTGAGACTGTGAATGATTAAGAAGGGGCATGAGATTGAAGTCATCCTTGCATAGATACGCTGTAATTATGTGACTTCAATCTGTCACAAATCTTCAACAGTTTCATTATGAAATTAAGCCACGATTTACAAGTATTATGAAAAGAGCAACCTTGCAAACTTGATCAGAAATCCACCAATGCACATCAACCGGAAATCTACCGATTCACATTCCGATGAGAATTTACTTTGTTGTATTGTTTGCTTTCAATATATCATATAATTTGTATTCGACTATTTTCACTACATTTCATATTTGGTATTTATTTTCTTTGAAAAATTTAGAATACAGCAAGAATAATGGTCTATCATACAAATTTCTTGTCTTGTTTAAATGTTTGTGTTGGGCATAAATCTTCCCTAGCTAGATTGTATCTTCTCTGTCTGAATGGCTCTACTGCTGTTGCTGAATAGGCACCTCAGAGCAATCTCATAAGTAGCAAAAATTGCCCCATTCACCAGAAATGCTCTAGAAACCGCAGTTCCTAATCCTCGCCATAGCACCCCATAACCATCATCTCTCACACTCTTCCGAAAGCAATCAGCAATGCCGGAATATCTGGGTGGAAGGTACTGAGATGGATCTTGAGCCTGCAATCTCGTTTTCACAACATCTAAGGGATAACAACAAATCCAGCTGGCAATTCCCGCTAGCCCTCCTGCCACCAGCATTGTTTGCAAGCTCTCTTCGCCGGTCTTTCTGCAGCCTGGGTGAAGCTTCTCTCTTATATACTCATAAGTCCAGAAGTATAAGCCATAGGACGGCGCTTCCCTAAGGACAGTAATAAAAAGTCCTCTATATATTCCCCTTAAGCCTTCTGCTCTCATTATGCTTTTGGCAACATCTATAGGGCCGTTGTGAGATTGCAGCTGATGGGGTTTTGATTTTGCATCACGTTGGAGTTGAAGTCGGATTTTTACAAGTTCTACAGGACTGAGTATTAGGCTCTGTATAGCACCTGTGCCAAATCCTCCTAGAGCAACACCTTTGTATGAAGGAGGGTCTTTGGCGGAAACAGAAGGATCGCAGGTTCGGGAGAGGATAGCATATACCTGGAAAACCATGGCATTCTGCAATGCACAAATCATTTGTCAGCTTAGAGCAATTATTTTGAATTGGACGGTTTTTGCTTAATTTGGTCACAATTTTTAAAATTGCTTTTAATCAAGGTTCTAAAAGGCCCTAGTTGGATGGCGGGTTTAGCGCCTAGGCATCTAGAGGGGCTTAGGTGGGGATCTAGGCAATTATTTTTTAATTTTAATTAAATTTATTAAATATTAATATACATAATTGTATAGGAATAAATAAATTTCAAAATAAAATGACATATGGATTAAAAAAACATTAGAACATATTGAAAACACGGGAACCAACATATAATGAGTGTTCATGCAAGTATCTAACTGTCTAAGTGAGAGTTGCGATCTAGCCGGTCTAGCCGCCTAGGTGGGTCTAGCACCCTTTCTTAATTTCTAAATGCCTAGATTAATTGTAGGGTGGCTAGCCGCTTAGCGTCTAGGTGGCGACATTGCTTTTAAAATTGTATGATCACTGAGATTTTTAGTTGTTAGAGCTCCATCCTTATTTTTCATCACAAATCTAACAATTAAAAACTTTGGAGAATAAAATACCTATAGTATACTATAAAATACCGCTCTTAAAATTGATGCGAAACATTAAAAGTTATGTTACAGAAACTTAGCATTCACAAGGCATGCAAAAAAAAAAAGCATGATCTGCATTGTTAATCTTTACATAGAACTTTTGTTTATTCTAGGGTTTATGTATGGGAAATGGCTTTGACACTCCAAACACATAGTCCTCCACATAACCTCAGTGCACGAGGTTCTGTAAAAGTGATTTTGAAGCACCAAAATCATATATTCTAGAATATTCTTACTAACCCTTGATTGTATATACTCTTGTATCTAACTTCTTATTACGTGAGCAAAATCACATAATAAAATAGATATATACATGTGGCACAAGACAGATTTTCTAGTATTCAAGCAAGAACAATTTCAATTTGTAAGTTGATAAGTTTAGTTGGTACCAATATTCATGCCCGTGCGTTGCGGCGGGTCGAGAAATTTATCATGTAGTTAAAAAAATATACTAAAAGTTTTAATACCATATATTTGTACAAGACAAAGAATAAGAAAAATAAATCTTGTTTATTTTCTACTCAAAATGAAATTAAAGCAATATTAAAAAAAATGCATTTTTTTTCAACAACAATACAACTAAGTGTGCTTACATCTCCACTAATACACCGTTAACCTTAAAGAGATACTAGATACATTTAAATAAGCCACAACTAGTTGTGCCAGACTTATATGAGCTTAAATGAGTAAAAACATTACTCTAACAAGGAACACCATAGCATCAAACCCACAAATTCACACCACATGATGTGAAAATTATGTTGACACACAAATTAACCCTCTTTTTATCGATTGTAGTAAGTATGTAAGTAGGGATCGTTCTAGGCCGGGGATTAGGAGGGATTGCTAAATCACTTGAAAACTGACTCAAATACGTAAAAACAAGTTTAAAACACTAAACTAGACTCAAAGAATGCAAAACTAAACTTTAAAACACCAAAACAAACAAAAAGACTCAAAACAGCAAACAAACACTCAAAACTGCCTTAAAACACTTTCTGGGTAGTTTCTGACACTCAGGAAGAATTTGGACGAAAATTGATTATAACTTGACTCAAGACACTTAAAAACACAAACTAAATTGATTTCTAACTAGTATGACTCAACAAAGAAAAGGGGGATTGATTTTGGACGAATTTAAAAACAAAACAAAACTTTGTAAACTAAAACAGATTTTAAAACGAATTTGGATGATTTTTGAATGGATGGAAGGCTAGCTAAGGGGTTCATCTCCACACATGTCACACTTGCATATAAAACGATTTCCAATTGCTTTTCAATAAACCATGAATTCTCAACGCCCCAAGTTAATTAGGTCCGCTTAAATTAACCCTCAGATTTTCCTTAAGTTATTGAATTGGATGAATTGCATACGACAACCCAAAGCATTCCCCACAAGTCCCCTACATGACTGCATAATAGAGATACAAGCAAGAATCATTAAGTTCTATGAAAACCATAAGCATTGACGAAGCACTTGTTACTATGATTGCATGAAACTTATGCCAAGAATTTACTTAACACGATTGTGATCAACAACCTTTACTACTTGTGAATATAAGTTCATAACGATTAGGTGAAATTCCCTTATATCCTAGCATCAAATTCATGCATGCAAACTAAGTGTCGACCCTCAATCAACATACAAGAATAAGTTTTAATTCACATAGATAAGCAAATTGAACTCACAACTTATGAAACGCAATTAGAAGTAATCAAATCATATAACAAGCATAAACATGGTTTCAAATCCCCCCCTAGCCAAGGGGGGTTTAGTTCCTCATACTCGCAAATAAACAAAGATAAATAAATTTAAACATTAAAACAAAGATAGAAAACACCTAGAAACGCTCCACAATCCAAGCTCCTTGAATGGCATGCACGGCTCCAAGTTGTCTTCCTTCTTCTCCTTGCAAACTCACGGCACACAAGGTATGTTTGGGTGAATGGTGTAGTGAAAATATGGTAGAGGATGGTGACTAAATGGTGCAGCAAAGGGTGGTATTTATAGGCTGAAATTCGCAGCCCCTATGTAGCAAAGGAAAAGGATTTAAAAGCCTAATTTGTATAGGATAATAACACACAATCCTTGAAGGAAAAGGCTAAGGCTTTTAGAAACCAAAGGGGAAAGGAATAATCAGGTTTCTAGGAGTCCTAGAAAGGTTTGGGGCGTCACTTTTGTAGGAGAAGGGATAAGGCCTTCTAGAAAGGTTATTTTGTGGCTGATTTCTAGAAAAACAAGGGATAAGGTGTGGCACCTTTGTAGGAAAGGATTAGGTCTTCTAGAAATCCCATTTTAAGCATCCTAATCTAGTTAGAAACCCTCCTAAGTGGCTGGAATGTGGATAATTTAGGATTAGGATAAGATAAGATAGGATAAGGTTTGTTTGGATAAGATAAGCTAAGATAAGGTTATGGATGAGGTTTTGGATAAGATCCTTCTCTTGAGTTGATTCTTTGGCTTTAATTCTTCTTCTTCATGTAGGAATACTTGCTTGAGTAGGAAACTTCATTCGTCTAGGAATCCATCTTCAATTAGGACTCCTACATTGATTAGGAATCCTTCTTCATTTAGGAATCCTTCGTTTAAGCCCTTTCCTACTTCAACTAGGAAACTTTGTATATTCAATTCTTCAACTTTGAAACACCTTCCTAGCTTCATCAATTCCTCAAATTCGTCCATCCCTTGTGCTTCATGTGCATGAACTCCATTCTAGCCCAATTTTGCTCCAAAATGCTCCAAATTGCATCCTTTTGCTCACTTTGTCTCTAAAACCTGAAAACACATGAAAATAGCTTAAAAGACTAATTTAACCAAGAAAACACAACATAAATGCATAAGAACTAACTAACTAAGGCGCATAAATATGCTCCTATCAAATTCCCCCACACTTAGCTTTTGCTAGTCCTCGAGCAAAACAAAACGAGTAAACACAACCTAAACCTTCCAACAATCGCCTCAGGGATTTCCAATGCACATGACATGTTAAAAATCATCATTCCCACAGATTTTAGCCATCTTTACGCTTAAGCACATACTTAATCATAGTCACTACTTATTAGTTCACAAATAACCAATTAAAACGATGTTTTGAATGTAGTAACATGCCTTAGAGAATTTGCTCAATTCCTTACTAGATATGCACTCAATTTTCACACAGAATTTCTGACTACACACCCTATACTGGTTATATGTGAGAAGATTGATGTAAATATGAAAACGAATGCTCACATATATGTATGACAAAGGAAGCACTTTCCGGAGTTAACAACATGTTTAAATATGATCTCATGAATGGAATGCTACTACTTAGATGCGAGATCCAGGGATATCATATGCTCATACCAATTCCAAACTCCACATATTGAAACACATAACAATCAAGATGGAAGCAAAGGGTTGTAACGGGGCTAAGGTATTGGCTAACAAAGAAAGGTAAGGATAAACAAACATTCTTAAAGAATAATAAGCAAAGTAATGAAATTGATACTTAGAAATCACTTTTGCATGCAAAAAAAAAAACGATTTTGAAACACAAGGGGAAGACTCATGCAACACTTAGGGCCAAATTCAAGCTTTTTGGACCCTTTCTTCAACAACCAACCCACTTAGAGCTTATTTTCTCATCTTTTTCAACTCTTTCTCATACTTTTCACATTGTTTTCTTCATTTTTTCTTTTTCTACGAATTTGTCTCTTTTCTTTTTCTAACCCGTGCCCTTCTACTTCTTTTGGCACACAAAATTTTCCTTCCCCCACACTTAGTTTTCTGCACAATGTTGATCAAAAGGAATTCCCTCTAAGTCATGCTTTATTATCCTTTAAGAACACGGGTATGGATAGTCCTAATCTAGGCTAGGTAAGGATAATGTGGCTAACAACAAAATAGGCTAAATAAGGTTCAAAGGGGCTAATCCTACAAAAACAAATGCATGGGTTGAAGGCTTTTTGGCTCTGGTGATAACTACTAAGCAACTTCATCTTGTTAGTTATGCTAATCAATTTTTATGCTTTGAATGAAATAGGTATGAGTTCTAATATTTGGATCTATAATGATGACACGCCTTCTAAGTAGCAACCAAGCAAAGAATGATGAGATCATGCAACGACTTTAGAAAACAACAAATTCACAGATTATTAACTCTCCAAATAAACGTTTAGGCTCAAGTCTCACAGGGTTGTAGCGTTTGTTTGAGTTCCTTCCTTCAAGCATGTTACAAAAACTGATTTTTTTCTTTATGATTACATGTGAAGTCATAAGTTATAACCACAACCAAGCATAAACCAAAGAGTAAATCAAACTTTCATCCATGTTTATAACTCTCTTTAACAATCATGCAATTACAAACCGAATCCTCATCATTGTGTTGGAAGGTACCCTAAGACACAAACAAACACACAAAAAC